CTTCTCAGGAAAGAGCTTGCCCGGCTGAAGGAATCACCACAGCATTGCTGCTGCTGCTGCAGCACCTCTGACAGGGTGCAGCCTGTGCCTTCCAATTTCATCTGGTTGCAGAGCCTGCAGTTTAAGATGGTGGTTATCATTCTCATCTGTTTAATCAAAGACAAGAAGTTTACCTGGAAATACACATCTTCAGAAGCTCCTCAAAGTATTTTCACAATTTGCTGTCCCTGCTGCCTTTCCATTTTCTTTCAAGACTCTGGATGAAATCATTGTTTCCACCTGTCTCATTTAGGTCAATGCCAGTAAGCAAGAGAAAGGGTAAGTGTGAGCAGCATGTTGGACAGAATGTCAAATTCAACAAGAATTAGACATCTTTTTTCTCTCCTTCTTTTTTCCTGGACACTTCTTCACCCACTGTGATTCCTAAGTGCAAGTGGGTGACTGCAACAGCAAATTATATAAACCCCAGAGCACTGTGGGAAGGAAAATAAGTAAAAAAAAATTAAAAAAAAACAAAACAGTTCACTCTAACCAATCCAAGATAAGTAGTTCTTCCGACCAAGCAATTCCAAAAATATGCAAAGAATAGCATGAAATCAAGAACAGCCAAAGGCTATCTGGATGAGGTGGCACATCTTGGCGGGGGGGAAAACCAGTGGGCAGTCAAGCCTCCTCCTGCTGTGAGACCTTGCCCTGCTTCCCAGTGATGCAGAAGGGAAAGCTGCACCAGAAACAACAAATCCAGAAACCGAAGGAGAAGCAGCAGATGGAAAACAGCACTCACCGACTACTTCAGTAATCACCTGGTGAGGACACGCTGAGGACCTGCCCCTACATCAGAAAAACTACTTCCAGGCAACTAACAAGCTGGGCAAGTCAGCTGAGAGAAGGAACTAAATCCACACTTTTTACAAGCTCCTTTTCTGCCTTTGGCCTTATCTATTCTGCTACTGCAGCCCTGCCTAAGAAGTGCTTGGTAAAAATGAAGCAGCTGCGCAAGAGTTTCCCCAGAAATAATCCCTGCCACAATACCTGTAACCGTCGGGTAACGCTGCAGCTCTTGGCCTGATTCTCTGTGTCCGTCTCCCTGCTCCTCCACAGCACAGCAAGGTTTTATGCTGCAGTTCCATGAAAGCCCCATTCAGGCTACCTGCAAAGGTCCCTAGAGTTGTATCACCATCCAAACAAAATAACTGCTCTTCAAGTAACCATGAGCTCTGGCTCCCTACTGAACTGGGCTGGCAATAAAAAGACACATGATGACACCGTGAGATGTAGCTCTGACATCACACTCCAAGACCACTGCATTACGTCGTTCCTGCAGCTGGCACCGTGACATTTTCCCAGCACTGTATTTGTCTGCAGTTTTAGAAATTATTCTAAAAAAATTATCTTAAATTATGACAACGCTCCTTCAAAAAGCAGTTTAGACAAGTGCTCCTTGCCGTAGTTTGGTACCTCACCGTAAACACGCTTTAGGAATCAGTGCTGAGCACCAGGCTGGACAATGCCCTGGCAATACCAGACAGGTTGCAGGCGGTGTAGAGATCCTTTCCAGAGAGTTCTTACATCTGGCCCAAAGCTCATTCTGTCTCACACAGATCTCCACTTCTTTAGATTGCCTCCTGCTCCTACTCTTCATTCTTCAGCATAATGACTTCAAGTGACCATGCTCACACCGTCTCTGTGACACTGCAGCAAGAAAGGAATGTCTAGGAGCAGACAGCTTTCTGAACAAAGAACCTAGATTTTATGCCCAGTTTGGAAAAGAAAAAAATGTAAAGAAATAATGAGAAACAATTAAAGAAAAAAAAAGCTCTCTTGTTCCAAGGGTTGTTTTCCTTCTGTTTAAAAACAGATTTACATGAATACTTAAGTGAGGTAGAAGACTTCATTTCAGAATATCACATTCAATTTTATTGGAAGAGCAACTTTATCTGAAGTAGTAAACATGCAAGTGACAACACACACAGGATCACTTGCTTAGTCACAATCATGGTGCTTGAAAGAGACAAAATCACAACTAATATGCTTGAAAGAGACAAAATTCAGAATATAGCATTTTAATAACGGGTTTTAAAAAGATACAATGTCAGAAAAAACAGAGAAGAGGAAGACTTTTTGGAAGATCTGAAATTGTAGAAGAGGCTGTATTTGGGAAGCAGCTTGGAAATAATGAGAGGTGGATAGGAAAGTAGGAAACAAAAAACCCACCAAAAAAGCCATTAAAGTTACACCGGAAAAGAATTTTAACCAACTCCACAGATGAGACAACAACGAGAATAGAGGAGGAACAGTTTAATAATGAGGTAGAATAAAAAAAAAAGTAGACGAACTGTGTAACTGTGTAGTTCTTAACCAGGTTTGTTGACCGAGGTGACGATTTTGGAAGAATAAGTCAGTGATGATATAAAAATCAAGGCACAAACGCAAGTCTAAGCACCAACATTTCTCATAAAATGTAAAAAAGGAAACCTGTAGATGTGAAACAACAAACACCTGCAAGATTTCAGAGAAAAACTTCTGGTAAAACGTGACACTGAGATTTCTAGCAGCAACTGAGAACTTGCTGAAGTGCCAGCTGACACAGACAGAGGGCAGTTTGGCCACAAGAACATTCATGGTAGTCATAGCTTATCAATACACAAGGCAGTATAAGCTAGGTAGATAAAGAGAATGAAGAATGAGGTAAAGAAAGGCAAGAATTCATTTAGATGTCATAGTACATAGGCCTGAGTAGAGATTTGACACCCTTTGGTCAAGTACGAAGGAAAGAGAAAAGGTCAAAACCAGTAGCCTTTGGCATGGATGGAAAAGGCAGAGGTAAGTCATCGCAAGCAACTGAAATAGAAACCAAAGACAGAAAGCAGAGGGAAAAAGTCAACTCACAACCAGAAACATAATGAAGAAAAATGATTGCTTGCAATAAAAGCTGCAGAGAAATCAGGAGCAGAAATAAGCCCCTTGTTTACAGCTTCACACATTTCTAATAATTTGTGAGGGTTCTGGTTAACTGGCAACCATGGAGAAAGCGAAAGGTTCAGAAAACCAGGACAACTAGGGGTGAATACATGAAAAATCTTCCTAAACCGGAGTTTAGAACATCCTGAGGAGGCAAAGTACTGACAGAAGTGAAAAAAAGAAAAAAAAAAAAGAGAGAGAAGGACTGTAGATCCCATGAACACAAGCAAGAATAGCACAAAAAGAGAGGGAACAAGAACCTCCAAGAGAAGAATCTTTTCAGCGCCTAGTTCATAGCAGGAACAGACTGCATTGATAAAGCTATGTAAAATAAGAAACTGTAGATATTCTTTTGTGGGTTTTTTCTTTCTTTTTTTTCCCCCGCTACTCTTCATGAAACTGTTTCACCCCAGCAGTGCTTTTTACTTCGAGGCACTCCTGTCCCACACTGAACTCGGGTTTGCAGCATCGTGGATGAGCTGATCAGCCATCCAAGCCCCATGTCATCTGAGATGTTGACACAGAAGTTTCTGGCTCCCCCAGAGGCGTACAGCTGCTTTGTGTGTCCCTGAACTCCCACTAAGTGATTTCTGTTAAGTCAGCCAAACACCAGACATACCCCTAACGACAAGCAAGCAGTATCCTGCATTTGCAGCAACAGAAATAAATGTCACAAAGAGCACAGTCACTCCCTCTGAGAACTCACAACCTCTATATGCAAGACAAGACCTGCTATAAAGCAATTTCCCAACTTCACCTTAAGCACACGGAGCTGCTGCAAAGCATGAGGTGATGGAGATGCCTACAGGAATAGCAGTGGGAAATCTAGTGTCCTTTGACAACTAAGGGAAGAGACTAGATAATATAACAGCTTCATTTACGCTCACACTTCTGTGTGTAGCTTCCTTGGAAAGCTGTTTATACTTGTAACTGATCTACAGTAGCTTAACAACCTTGCTAAAATAAAACCACTGATGAGCAGAGTTTGACTTTTGCACTTCAAAACATTTTTAGGCACCCCCCCAAAGCTCAGTTCAACTGGAATTAGATGATGCATCGTTCACGTGGACAGGAAAGCCCTGTGAAGATTTCTGCTCCAGGAGAACTGCTGGAGGCACAGCACCTCTAGTTGCAATAGAAGGAACTTGAAAGGCGCTTAGATACAGTACAGTTGTGCTCAGCACAAACACATCTGAGAAGAAAAACTACACCTCTGCAAACTTCACTATTACACTAAGCAGCGAACAGGTGAAAAACGTTTAAGTACAATTTTCCATCTGCATCCACAATATTCACAGAAAAGCTCCAAGTGCGGAGGTCAGGCGGGTCAGCGACATCAGCTGGTGACACAGGGCTAAAGCACAGTGTTGTAAAGAGAAGCTTAAGCTTTGATACCAAAACCGAATGAGAGTCCTGCCATCATTCACAGAAAAAGGAGCAGTTTTCACTGAAGAGGTTTTCTATCACACAGGGCATTACAGAACTAACTATGAAGAGGCTGTTGTATGTCACTCCACCTTTTTAGAGAGTATTTCAAAATGACCGTCAGAATTACGTCTGCAAAAGAAGACATCCACGTAACAACAGCAGATAAACTGTTTGTTTCATTAGCAAACTTCTCTCCAGATCACTTAGAATACGCAAAATAGCATTTACGATTCACTTCAGGTAGAGATCTAATGTTAAGCTCCTTAGACGTGTGCCACAATTAGCTCCTATAAGTGAGTACACCAAAATTCTCTTCCAGCTCTCCCTATTTAGCTTCTTTTTAAGGAGTGGTGGGATCTGTGCTTACATCCCTCATCTAACAAAAACAACTGTGTTGCTGACCTCGTCCCGAGACCCCCAAAACGGATCTAAGGAGGCTGCTTTGGCTGCAGGCTCAGGATGCTCCAGTTACAATCACTTCCCCTGCCTTGCTGTGGCAACAGGAAACCAGTCACAGCACCATCACACTTAATGAGAACGCTAAATGGCAACGAGAGCTGCAGCAGCAATTCATGCTGTCAGATAAATACAGTGACGAAGGCTCGGCCAAGTCAATGCGCTAAATGGACAAGTAAGACATTCTCTCCACGAATAAAGATCTGGTTTATGTGCCGTGTGAACACCTGCTGATAATCCACCTTGGGCCGCCTTCTTCTCCGCGACTGGCTTCTTGCACGGGTACCACCAGCGCTGGCACCCTCTGCACGAGCAGTCCCGCTGCCCACATCAGCTTCACCTCTGGCAGCCACGGGCAGACCCTCAGCCGGCTTCTTCTCTCCAGCTCTGCCCAAGCGTTTCTGCCTCTCGCGCTCATCCTCTGCTCTCCCTTGTCCTGATCCCATTTTTGATCCCAGCGTCTGAGAGTCATTTGTCAGGGCCAGCCCCTCGGTGACAGTCTTTGAGCTGGCTCCCTTCTTCACCGAGGACTCCTGCAGTTTGAGTCTGTCAAACAGCTGTAAAAGAACGTTTGTGTATGTGACCACATTCATAAAACTGAGCAGCGTTTCTACATGGCATTTGCTTACATGATCCCAAATCAGGGCTCGTGATACACAATTAGTGAAGAACCTTTACCAGCAATAAAGACTCTGTTTTCTCACCAAAGTCAAGCAGCAGCATAGGGTGACTGGGTCTCTCACACGCACATGAGTGTCTTTATGTGAGAACCAAGGCATTTAATTTGGGGAGCAACGCTACTGTGCACTAGCATTTAATTTTGGTCAGGAATAGAGAGCTACCAAGTTGATTCATGAGTTCACTTTCCCCAACACTCTTGTAATGTTGTCAGATAATATTAGAGAGATTTCTATCCTTGTGTCCTCAAGCAGGACATGAACCCCTAAGATATCACCAACAAGTGTAGACTGAAAAAATGATGGACCTTTTGTGTTCCCCTAAACAAACTAAAAGATGCCATGCGGATATACTGAAAGGTGAGCAGACCACAAACAATAGGGAAAAAAAAGCAAAAAGCTAGAGCAGCAGATCCAAAGCACTGTATGAATTCATTAATCTAAGAACACTTGGTACTGAAACTGGAAAAGAAATTGCTTTTACTCTGGCTGCAGGCAGGCTTTTATGAAATACTGACAAATGAAAAGGATTCTCAGTCAGCCTCTGTCTTCTCAGCAACAGGATGGAAAGCCAATCCCTGTGAGAGCGGGCTAAAGGAACAATGACAACTTGATTATTTTTAACTAATCTTTAAAAAAGGAAGGGTGGGATCTATCGGAAAACAGATGTAAATGGCAGGAATTTGAAAGCAAATTCCTCACAATGAAACTGTTCAAAAGTTTTTGTGATGCTTCTCTGATGTTCATACGGCCCAGAGCTATGTCATTCACCAGGCATGGCCCTGTCACATTTTTTTTCTTTCATTGTTCGGAAGTTCATCTATCATCTCTTCAGTTCTCAACTTCATAAACATTTTTTTTTTGTTTTGCAGCTGGATCCTACAGAGTGTCTTGCTTTGGAGCAACATGCAGAATCTTGGGCTTCACAGTACCTAAACTAGAAGTTCAAGTGACCAAGCAGACATGCGACTGTTTTACCGCCTGGAGCGACAAAGGCTGCCACTCCACGAACAGCAGTATCAGGGTTATGCACTGCCAAAGCACCTGGCAGGACAAACGTGGGCCAGATCAGTCATAGGTGCAAAAAAATGCACAGAACAAATCAATCAAAAACCAGAGTGAGCTTATAGAAGGTCAGCATATTGCACTAAGCAGTGGCAGCAATTGTGATCTGATACTAGGAACTCTAAAGTGGAACTTCTGTAACACTGAATCATGACCAAAGTGCTTTCAAAAAGGTCATAAAACTTTTTTCTGCCCCAGTTCAAGTCATTTTAGAGTCATCTGTAATAAAAGGAGGTAAAATATTTCAAACATAAACACAGTTTTCCAATCCATGCTCCCCTTTCACTACTTTGAAAAAGAAAATACTAGGAAAAAAACCCAAAACTGGAGATGGTTACCTACTCGGGTTAGTGAGAGCTGAGGTTCTGCATAGAAAGCTTTGCCCATTACTGGTTTCCTGTACGTCTCATCCACATCTGTCAGGGCCTAGAGGATAAAAGAAATTGAAAGGTCAGAAGTAAAAGAAAACATTATGAGGCTTTGGACCAGCTTTGTGTTATGGAATTATGAAATTATGTCCCATCTGACAGAAAATCCATCCCAGGAACAAGCCGTGCTTTGGAGCTCACCTCTTAATCATCTAAATTGCACCAAGATATAAAAGCATCAGCAAAGCCCAGCACCCATTCTGCACTACTTGCAAAACCCTGGTGAGCCTCACCTGCAGACGTACCAATCCAACACCAAGCACCACTCACGTCTGACACTCAGCGCCAAAGCAAATTAGCTTTATGAACCACAATACCACATTAACCTTGTCAAAATGCAGTTCACTTGAACCTGGTGCAAATTTCAAGTTTTCAGTACAGCAGTTGTAAATCAAGGGCCAGAATAATAATTACCATATTCCAGAACTTGTCAAATGCTACCAAAAACCCCGTGCAGACTCCACGAAGCCCTTTGAAAGTGCGAATATGGACATTGATTTTTACACCATCTCGCACACAGCGATGAAGTTCCCCCAGTGGGCTGCCTTCATGGACTAAAAGAGAAAGAGAATATCACCAGTCTTTAATAAAATACACATACATACATATATATATATAAAAATATGTAGAAATCTACTTCATGTAGGAGCATGGCAGATCCTGGTACAAGTCTTGTCTTTACAGCAAAAGACATGAGAAGCCCCAGAGTACTGTAACACACTGCAGTTCCAATTACTAGACCAAAACTCTTCTTACAGTGGACACAACAAAGACTTCAGAAAATATTTATTTGCTTTACCCAACTTGCAGCCAAACCAGCCCTAGCTGAAAATCTTTTTGCTACATTTCAAAAACAAACTAAGTAATGCTAATCTTAAACAAAAGTGGTTCAGAGGGAACAGAAAGCTCACCAAGGCAGAGAAGACAAAAGCCGAGTTAAAGCTACGTCAGATTAGTTACGATGTGTTAATAAAGTACTGTAACAGACGTGTTCTTTTTCTTTACAAGATTTCTGAAACAATGAATGATTCAAAGTTCTTCGAGGACCTAAATTGGATCAGTTTAAATTGACAAAAATGTATTGTTTCAATTAAACTTTCAGCAGCTAGCTGAACATCCTTCAAAGATGTCCAAGTCTTTGAAAAAAGAAATAAAATGGCTATAAGCAGCAGCCACCAATGAAGCCAGGCTAAACCACAGAGAAACAATTATTTTAGCCAGGGCAAAACCAAAGCAACTCAGTAAAACATACAGCTTACCTGCTACCCACAAGCCTTATCTGCAGGCTAGAAATCTTTGCAAGCATAAATTATCTAGAGGGGTAGATATTATTTACTTCACAACTTCCACTCGGGCCATGGCGAAGCCACACCAGCGACAAACTACACCTGCCCGCTTGCTTGTGCAAGTACAGCCCCAGGACTGCCCCCCAGTCAGGAAAAAGCACTGGTCTAAAATCCCACACAGTGCTTCTTCGTATTAATAAAATATCTGAGTCAGAGATGATCTCTTGCCTTGTGCTTTTGGGACTAGGCGTTCAAGGTTTGATTTGCACACCAGAAATCTGGCTGCATGGTAGCTCTTAGCCACAGCAGGGAAATCTAAAGCAGCTTCCTCTGAATTAACCTAATCACATTAATTTTTTGAGATCCACTGTCTTCTTGCCAGCCCTCTCTAGCTGGATAGCTGGAGAAAACTGCTTTCACACAGAGCACAAAATGGCTCAACCACCTCCCAACTTTGCTTACGGGGGTCTTCTTGTGAGTCTCTGTGCTTCCTGCAGCTGAAACGGTAATGAACTTACGTTCTGAACTCACAGGTCCATCACAGGAACCACGGATCACAGCACTGCTCTGTCAGATTGATGCTTTTTATCAGATAACAGCATTTTTTCTAACCAATCCTGAGAAGTTACAGGGCATTAGATTTAAGATTTTAGATTCCAGTGATCCCTTTTATAAAGGAACTTTATCTACAACTTTGTACAAAAACCCAAGTACAATCTCTATTTCCAGTTGCTTGGTTGCAACCTGTCAGGCCTCGTGAAAAACACTATTTAACAGCTCTACTAAATCTAGACAATACGTGCTCTTCCTGCTTTGCCTTGCTGCACAAGGTTCTGGCTTCACCAAGGCAAAGCTCCAACTTCGCCTGATCAAAAGGGCAGAACACATCATCCAAAAACCTTCTGACAGTCTGACACCCACTTCTTGGAAGAAAATAAAACCAGCAAAGGAAGGAATTTAATTTTGCAGCGTTATCTCTTCTGCAAGCATCAACGCCTGTAATGACCAGGCTCTGCCTGCAGCTAGGTTTGCCTGTGGCTTTTGATGCTGTTGAGTACCAGTACTAATAATTTTTCAGTCTGTAGG